CATGCCTAATAGGACAGTCTTCCTGCAATCATTAGAGGAAATGGCCATCAACTACATCGGCAGCAACTGACCATCTGTAGGCCTCTTCACGAAAGTCACACCCAGCTCCTCGAACCTGGCACAAGCTTTCTCCAAACATGGGACAAGGATTCCAATGTGACCTGAAAAAACAGAACATTTGTGGATTACACAATAAAGAACAGCTAAGATTCCCAGTCAGATTTGGTCAGATTCAAAGTGTAGAATCAACGCAATCAAGGCTCAACAAGCACGCACCAAATCCTCGGGGTTCAGTGTTCCCATTGTGATATTTCATACTTGGATCGTTCTCAGTGCCCCAATTGCTGCAAGGAAGCAGAATCACAGTAATGACCAGGATCCATATGAGGAAATAAGAGTTACATGATGTCAAGCCATTGGAGAAATTGCAGCATAGATGGTGCATATGGACCAAAATTAAATGTTTTCTTAATATGCTCATACCAACATGCAACAAGGACCCAAAATGCTTATTAATAGACTTGGTGTCAGTTAATCAATGTCTGATACATATAGGCTAAATATGCCATCTGTTCTCAACCTCTCCCCAACTAAGCGAAGAAATCTCATTATCAACTTCTTTTTCTTTTACCCAAATACAAGTTTTTATCTCTTACTTGACTTTGTCAAGCCTTCAAAGTAGCATGGGTATATTAAGTAGTCTGACAGAGAGAAAACCATACAGGGGCTTACCTCATTAAAAATAATAAATTAATCATATTGTACAAGATATATTCATGAGATGAACAATAATATATGTAGGAAAGAAATGCATATCACAATGCAGTAACTCAAAAAGAGGGTTGACTAATCTCACTCCAGATGTTTGGATACTTCAAATAATTAGGCATTTATTTAAACAGAACATAACAGGAAGAGCAAACACTTTAATATACACATTAAACTTGCAATATAAAAAAATCCATATCAAGTGAGAAGAGTCATGGACTGTCATCAGATTCCTATTACTTCCATCTCCATCACCAAAATCAGCATCCACTTCAGCTTTCATATTGATACATTCTTCTCAAGGTTATCAATATATGAAAAAAACCATGTCTATACCTTACTTCAAGAAAACCTGATAAAGGGGGATTGGTTCATAACCATTCTCATAATAAGGGAACTGATAAGCCAATACACCAGTACAGAAGGCCTACCTAAATTGACCAAGTAGCTGAATTTTCAAACAGCTTTCCAATATCAGCAACTCACTGAGTCAATTCCAGAGTTGCTTTCCGAGACATGGCCCAGGCACCCCTCTCCTTCTCGTCAGTTGGGATGTCTTCCTTCGATTCAAAGCCCATGAAGTAGATTGTGAATTTCATGGCAGGAAAATCACACTTCTTCAGAAGTCTCATCCCCAGAATTCTGGTGTAGAAATCCAAAGATTTTTTGGCGTCTTTGATGCGGTACATGGTTTGTTGGAAGATAAAGTCCTGAGAGCCACATGGGTAAAAAAAGAACGAGGGAAACATGTCTCAATGAAATAGAGGGATACACTTAACGGCTAAGTTTCATAAGTCGGTCTCACTTTGGTAGATGGATCAGGCTCACTGCATGCGGTTGCTGCCTCTTCATCAGTAAGTCCGTGTAAATCTCCGTCTGCCATGATTCTGTTGTTTCGGAATAGCCCCAAGGAACCACTCAACTTCTCTGTGTGCCGGTACCAGAATAATGTACGGCAATGCTTACCGATCAACGAACCTAAGGTACCCATGACATTGGCATTATCCTCAAAAGAAAGAAGCCAGACCTACATCTTCAACCCACTTTCAAGGGGGATAGAGGAGTATAGGCCTATTTTCACAGCAGAACATGTTCAGAAATGGAGGTAGTCCAAAGCCCACCTGCTACGTCTTGCACATTGTAACTCTTCATGCAGCCAGTTTCCAACTCCTCCAACTACTTTCTATGAGCATATTAAAAAAATCTTTAAAAAAACTATGGATACTCGACAGCCCATTAGCCATCGTAAACAACATTCATCATTTTGGATAAAATAATGCCATGGACACCGCCAAGTCCTGTAGCACCTAGTTACGGTATTGATTTGGGAGCAACAGGCCTAATGCATGAGGCTGAGAAACGTTTTCATACTCAGAATCTGAAATTCATTATCAAAATATTGGACCAGCACATTGGGATTTTTTATGTCAGAGTGTACAACCAACCTAAGCCGTGAATACGCCTAGGACCGTGTCTAACCATGATACAAAACCCCGCAGGGTCTCTATCAGTTATCAGTTACGCAGAGGGGCTTAAACGAGAATAATTTTGCAAGGGCACTAGGATGAGGAAGTGCAGAGAGGCGAGGAGAAGGCATGGGATTAGTTCCACTCAAAGAGAAAGCATGAGAATGAAAATAACTCAGCACGAGAAGTCATCATGTCGGTCAAGAAAAGAATGCCCACGAGGACATCACGCGAGCACCTGCTGCGAAACATACCGACTCCCGCGACATCTTCAGGCTACGCGGTGTAAACCGCGAATCACAAATGGCGACAGACGGCAGAAGCCGGGCGTGAAGTGACCGACCTCCACATGTAGGATCATTCGGCTGCTGTTCCCGCTTTCTGTTTTCATCGCAATCGACTTTTAGCAAGCCGTCCAACACTTATCTCTTCGCTTGGGAATCATGGCTGCAGGCCCCATCACAGAGAGAAATCAAGGCAAGGAGTCATCCGTTGGCATAGTATAATTTTCTAAGTATCGTTGAGGCTAGATTAGGTCCATTATATGAATAAAGATAGGCCTATCCATTCTTACCTACCCAGACAAGGGCATCCTGCTTCAACCTCTGTTTCACCTCAGTCAAGAAATTAGGGGTTCTTCTGTCTTTCCTTGTCTGTGCAACCTGTTTAGTATAGAATGTATGGGTTAGATCTGCAAAATCCTTATAAATTTAATGGAAGCATGATATGGGTCTCATTCTGAAAATATACACTCTATAGTCTTGTAAGCAAAACAAAAAAATCTGAAGCTTTGTTTATAAGCTTTGAGCTTTAGTCTCATTTTAAAAAGAATTGTGATGAAGGTAGAAGTAGAGAAAATAAAAAGTATGGCAGATAAGAGTTTTTTTTTCTTTTTCTCTTTGCATTGCATCAGTCCAACATTTGCTTTCTGCTGTTCTATGGTAACTCAGTAAGCCAAGGCTAGTCATAGGCTGTACATTTTAAAATCATATGTCCTAATAACTGAAGAAATCTACTTGAAAGTAAATTATGTTTTCTCTTTCAGATGCCACCATATATGTTGGTGGTCTGGATGAAAAAGTCAATGAGGGCATTCTCTGGGAACTCTTCGTCCAGGCAGGTCCTGTTGGTGAGAACCATCATGCCAAATGTTTCCTTTGAAAATGGCAAGGATTAGGCCTTCACTCAAAGTGACTCATTTCTCTCTCTTTCAGTAAATGTCCACATGCCTAAGGATCGCATCACCCTGAATCACCAAGGATATGGCTTTGTGGAATTCCTTGGGGAAGAGGATGCAGATTATGCCATAAAAATAATGAATATGATCAAGCTTTTTGGGAAGCCTATTCGTGTCAACAAGGTAGCTGCTGACAGCCTTCTTTGTCTTGGCTCATTTGATATGCTTTAAAAAAGATGAAAATAACCCTGAATTTGTGTAAAATTATTATTTTCTTTGACAGGCATCAGCACATCAAAAGAACTTGGATGTTGGAGCCAACATCTTCATTGGTAATTTGGATCCAGAAGTGGATGAGAAGCTTCTTTATGACACATTCAGTGCTTTTGGTGTCATTCTCCAAACACCCAAGGTGAGCCCAATATGGTCAAATGGCAGGAGAAAAATGACCAAATAGAAGCAAAGAGGGCCTTTAAGCTCCTTTTCCTCTTCATCTCGATGAGTATTGTCTTATTACTAGTGCCCATGCCTGCGATAGGAGATTTGTGTACCCAGAGTTTATGATGGGAATATCCTCCCATTCTACCATCTTTCACTTTCTTCTTTATCACGAGAAGGATGTGCTACTCTTGTTGCTGAGGATTTGTCAGAGGGGATGCAACCTAGTCCAGTTGTTTAACTTGATCAACAGAAGCAGAACCAGATGCAGCTGTATTCATCACATCTGCTTCTGGGATGAATTGACTAGGAGATGCCACAATGTCATACTTTGTTGCCATGAATGATTTTGCCTTTACACTTGATGGGAAAGGGCTTGGGTTGTAGTTGTTTACAAGCAACATGTATGACAAGACACCTTTCTCATAACAAAGGAGAACTCTTTCTGCTCTTCATATTTTGATGATGCTTTCCTTGAGCCTTCCATTAGCATTGGTGGATTTCATTATTGCAAAAAAATGTTTAAATTATAACCTATTGTCATTGATAAGGTTGAACAATTGAGGTTTAGTAACTTTATATAGGCTTGATGGACATGGAATCATGGAATTGTTGCAGATCATGAGGGATCCAGATACTGGAAACTCAAAGGGCTTTGCTTTCATCAACTTTGCAAGCTTTGAGGCCTCGGATGCAGCCATTGAGGCCATGAATGGTCAGTATCTGTGCAACAGAGCCATCACTATTTCATACGCCTTCAAGAAAGACTCCAAGGGAGAGAGACACGGATCGGCAGCAGAACGTCTCCTGGCCGCTCAGAATCCTCTGTCTCATGCTGATCGGCCTCACCAGCTCTTTGCCGATGCCCCACCCCCTCCAATGCAACCTCCTCCACCCCCTCCTCCAGGTGGAGCCCCACTCCCACCTACTTTCCCCCAGGGTCACAATGCGATGGGACCTCCCCCGATGAGCGGACACATGCCTCCCATGCCACCTGGCATGATGGGTCACATGCGGATGCCACCTCCTCCACCGCCCGGAATGCAGCCTCCACCTCCTCCTATGCCACCCTCCCAACATGGCATGCAGGCTGGAAGCTCTACTTCGGGTAATTATTCTCATTCCTTGCTTGAGCTTAGAATTTATTGATGGTTAGAATTTCATTTTACCCCCTCCTTCCCAGGAATGCATCCACCAATGCCTCCTTCCATGAGTGGCCAATCAATGTCATCAATGGGGGGACCTCCCAGAATGATGTGGCAAGGGGGACCACCCCCTCCTCCAGGACCTCCTCCACCACCAGGTGGGCCTCTACTCTTGTCATGGTCTCCTGTCAATCTGTTGCCAGTAGCAAAATTTTATTGCTTTATCCCCCCTAAGGTATGAGAGGAGGACCTCCACCACCACCACCACCTCCGCCACAGATGCAAGGCATGAGATGGGGAGGTCCAGGACCAGGTGGGGCACCTCCACCTCCTCCTCCACCCGGGCCACCCCGCAGCATGAGTGCAGGATACCAGAGACCGCCGTATCCTCCGGGGCCTCCCGTCCGAGGCCCGCAGCCACCCCCTCCCCCTCCACCACAGTTGAGAGGAGCCCCCCCTCCTCCACCCTGGGGTGTGAGACCCCCACCCCCCTCTCAGCCACCCGAATAATTCCAAGAAATGCTCTGGAAATGCTGATGTAAATAAAGTTTACATGAATGTCTCAAATGCTGTTCATCATTTTGTCTCCTTTCCTTTAATTTCAATTTGAAGAGGAATAACTTTGATCCTGAGGCAGGTAAGATGTGAAGGCTGGCCCTTGGTAACAAATAACCCCATTATCTAATGAGGAGAAAAGAGACAAGTTCTGAGGGGTATAATGTCTCTTCGGAAAAAATGGCAGTTAACACTTGGAGCCCTGCATCCGTCATATGACATTCTATGCCCATAGCGCATTCAAAGTATGTCAGGGCTGAAAGTAGAGCAATTCGGCTTCATTTTCTGTAGATATTTAATATCGATCGACTTTTGTCTATCTCGTCCACATTTCCACCTGGTACGTTACAATTATGAAAGTAATTAGAAAAGGAATGCATTCAAAATCGTGGATACGCTTCCTTTAGCAATACCCACGAGAACCACATGGAAGGAAAAATGAGGGAAAGCGAGTAGCCACGTGGCTGGAGACGAAGATGGCCGCTCGCATGGATACCCCTTCCCAGTCGTCTCTCGCCAGATTGCGGCTGACTTTCATCTTCATTCTCGTACAATATGTTTTTTCGACCTACGGGGAGGCGTTGGACTTCGACGAAGCGCCGGGTATTGCAATGGAGTATCGGGTTCACGTAGACGCCGGCAAGGAGGACTGCTACTATCAATACGTTCATCCTGGAGCTTCCCTTTACATCAGTTTATGGGTTCGTTCGATAACATCTAACTTAGGCCAAATTACGCCTCGTCTTAGGCCTAGCCTAAAACCCCAACGTTTACCTCAGGTCGTGAGAGGAGGGGACGGGATGGCAGGCTTCGCGGTCCGCCACCCCAAGGGCCACCACGTCCAGCCCTATCAGTGGAAGTCCGAGACGGAATACGAGGAGGAGAAGTCCGAAGGAGGTTTCTACGAACTATGCATCGACAACCAGTTCTCCCGCTTTGCGGACAAACTCGTCAACCTCTACCTCACCACTTTCAGGCAAGTGCCAGGACCCAACTCGTAGGGGAGGCACGGGACCCTGAATGTAGCCGTTGTTGAGGTTTTGAGGTCTACCTTAAGGGATATTAAGGATTCCAGGCCTGTAGTGCAAGCCACGACACAAAAGACTGCATCTAGGCCAATGTGTCCATCTGAATTCATTCTCTAAGGCTCTCTGAATTTTATGGCAGCAATTTCTATCAAGATTTCAATTTCTATTGCATTGGACTTAGTGCTTGAGTCTCTACTTATTGACAAAAGGCAGCTCCAGACATGGAATTCAATATTTTGTATTGGAAGACATATAGTTCATTGGTAAATTCAGCAACTGGAAGCCTGCAATCATGTCTCCTTGTTCATTTTGCATCAAACAAATATTTTGCTTAACCTCTGTGTTGAAATGCTATATCATTACTTTAACTACTTACCATGTAAGCAGCAGTTGTAGCAGAGGAATTTATGAATGCTTCAGTGAGGTGGAAAGAGTGGCTAAGGTAAAATCAAAATTTTAAACTATCATAGAGAAAATGATGAGAATAGTAAGTTTTGGGAAATGCACAAACATTTATTTTATGTCATCAATCTTCAAGATACTCCAGTTTATAGTGTTTTGGTGATACTTGTAATGTGCTTTTTCAGGACCATGATGTATAATGCCATAGAGAAAGAGATACAAATGTTTTTGAGAAACCTGAAAATTATGCAATAATTCATTGCTCAAACCTACTACATAGAGGGTTTTCTTATGCAATGCCACTTTTCTCTCCATAAAAAAAAAANCATTGCTCAAACCTACTACATAGAGGGTTTTCTTATGCAATGCCACTTTTCTCTCCATAAAAAAAAAACATAAAAAAAAAGACTGTCTCTCTCCACCATATGGTAAGGATTATTTTAAAGTTATTATTAGAAAAAATGGCTAAGTTATGGTCAATTTGTGTATGCACCTCATTAACATACTTTATTTGTTGTGTAGGCATGACAAGTGGGAAAAGTACACCCAGGACCTCCAGGCATTGGATGTGGATGTGGCTAATTTCACAGTAAGCTCACTTCTATTCATCCATCTCATTTGGCAGTGCTCTAGGCTTATTCCATGATGCTGAATGGATTTAACATGGAGTTGTCATTGCATTATGCTTCAAACAGAACATGATCCATGGAGTTGATCAGAGGATCCAGTCAATGAGCAAATATCAGCAGATGGCCCGGAACACTGAATCGCGTGACATGGGGCTGATACAGAGCAACCAGTCGTACGTGCAGTATTGGTCGCTCACGCAATGCATCGTCGTCCTTGCCACGGGCACTGTTCAGGTTCTGTTCCTCAGGAAACTCTTCGAAACAGGAAACACAAAGTCAGGAAGAGCATGAGGGGCTCGAGACATCTTCCTCGCTCATTACTGCTCCGGTCCAAAGAAGCGGAGTGCTGTGATGATATTTTTATGTGTGCCTTTTCCAGATTTTATTTTCCCAGCAGAATGTCATCCAATGAGAAGTTTCCCTTGCTAATTCCAGTTCATCTTTCTTTGCAAGGCTTTCTGTATCATACGCGCTCGGAATTTGACTTATCCATGCTTAATAGATTATTTTAATTTTTTAGACCCCATCAATTTTATGTGATCTGTGTCTTTCAATGAGATGTACTTTTGGAATGATTTGCCTCATTCATGGTGCACAGGTTTCAGCCATAGTATAATTGTTGAGTGTACTGCTACTCTGACCACTTGATACTTGAAGAAATGGAGTACATAAGATTATTTCTCTGAGAAATGGAAAAGATTATCTGACAGATTCTTGTAAGTGAAAGGTGATGCAGAGTTGCAAGTCTTGCTATGTCTTCATGATTGAGACCCTAAGATTATTTGGCTTATTGTAATTGCCCTAGATTGTGATGAGTAAGCATTCTAATAGTAACATTTGCATTTCACGAAGGAGCATGAACTTCATGTTACCTGCTGTGCTGTGGAACAAAGTCAAAGGGACAAAGGTTATCTGGCACAAACTCAGAGAATCTCATGATTGCATATTTCTGGTTATATCTTTTGATGCATTCACTTGATCAACATATATATTTTTTCTGACTTATGAGAATGAATTATCTGATGATTGCTGTTTAGTCCTGTGGTGTTTTTTGTAAAAGAAATTTCCTTTGCTCCCACTCAGCTTCTGGCATTTACTTGGATTAGATTCAGATCAGTGGTACTTGGATTTGGCTGTTTTACCTGATCTTCATTGTGACTTGATCTTAGAAAGACACTTTTCTTCATTTGCATTCCTTGGGTTGTGAAAATAAATGAGGCTGTGTCTCACCCTCAAATCAAGGTTACTGTGTTTTCTACCCTCTTCACACAGAGTTCCCCCAAGTGATGTCACATGTCTTTGGCAGGGATGAATCTTTTTAATCATAAAAACAAAAAGGGTCACTGGTAGAGTTTGATGAGTTCGTCACTCACGGCCGATGGAGTTAGGATCCCAAGATCTGTGAGAAGCAAAGAGATTAAAGCTGGGGGCGTGTAATCCACCACCGGATGCTCTTCCCACGATACTCCCAAGCCCTTCTGATGTCGACCTGGAAACTGCTCCATCGAGCAGGCAAAACAATCTTGTTTTTAACATCAGTCTTAGGAAAGCATCACACAGCTAAAATACAGGAATGGACATAGGAAATCATAACTTATTTTCAAAAGATTCTCACCTTGAACTCCTCAGGCAAATCTTTTTGGTTGAGGGGATACAAGCGCACAAACTTGAAACTCTCAGCAAGGACATACACCTCCTTGTTGGCTGCCTTGGCACATGTTGCCACTGTGCAACTTCCAATCTGCAATCATCCACAAAAATGAACCATTGCAATGCAAACAAGTCTTGAGCATTTGGCAACAAAGAACAGCAATGGACAAATTTCAAATCAAGATTTCATAAAAGCCCCATTTGAGAGGGATTCAGGATTCATAAGGAGTGATTCAAACCAAAGCTCAAATTATCAGCGATTTGAATTCAGATATCCTGAAAAGATTCACAAAAATTCAAACCTGAATGCTAAATTTTTCAATTTTTTGCTCATTCAAATTGAAGCTCAAACCATTAAATTTGATGATTTTGTCTTTAATACCACCTCGTGTACATTGAGCATGTATTCATTAAGAAAACTTCCATTGGCCAAAAATTTACAGGATATGAATTTGAATACAAATACAAATAACTGAAGGGTGATTCTCACACCTGATATTAGTGATCAAACAACAGGATGCAAGATTCCCTTCAGGATATGCCCATCACCAAAGAGTACTGGCACATACCTTGTTGATTATGCCTCCATTCTCAACAACACCTTCAGCCCCCAGCATGACAAAGTCCACATCCTCCATGATGTATCCAACGGCAGAGTCCAGGATGATGCAGCAAGGAATTTCTTTCTCCTTCAGAGCTTTAGCCATCAAGTACCTGGACCAGCAAGTTTTTCAAAAGTAATTTCCAGGTAAGTAATGAGCCCCATGATGAAACTGTTGTCAGTCAATGCACAAAATAAAGACAAAGGCAAAGAACGAAGACTCACCCGCTCTTATCGGGAAGGGATTCGGTGATGTAAACGTGGAAGTGCTTGTTTTGCATTGCAGCTTTGAGCAATGCATGCAGGATGACCCGGGAATATGAGTGCACCAGGAGCTTCTAGCAAGGGTAAAACAATAATGGAATATTGAATATAAGCAAGAGACTTGCTAAGCAATTTCTCAAAGACCTCACCGATCCATCTAAGATGAAGGACGATGCAAGCTGGGCAATTTTATCCCGAGATTCGCCAGCTTTCTGGAGAAATGTCCGTCCACGTTTTATCATGATTTGCTTCACCTTGTCCAGCTCCTGAAGCATCAATCATTTCAACTGGTTTGCTGAGCATTAGTAGACCATGATCCACCCACCACAAGATGACTCACTGAGTACTCAAGGTGAGCAAAGGTGATGTACTGAAGGAACAAGGCTGTGCCAGATGTCACTGATGCGATCGATGTATCGGTCTCCTTCATCAGCTTGCACACTTTACCTATTCTTTCTAGGAACTCTTGCATTGTTTCTGCTGAAAGGCAAACAAAACATCTGACTATCATTTTTTTGTTATAGATTCTATAGATGTTAGGGGATGAACTCATAAATTCATAATTCAAGATGTAGTGTAAAAAAATACTGAAACCAAAGGATCAATCTGGCAATATTTAACTAAGAATTGCCCCCTGGAGGATGGCAGTGCCCAGGTAATGCTTCTTCACCTCTTCTACAATTTAATGTTTCCTTCACTAGATTCATGTGGTATTATTAGTTGATTCAATAATCCATCTATCAGTACAAGATTGATTGGATGGAAATACTTAATCAAAAGGCACCTGAATGTCATTAGTAACTCAGTGCATAATTTATGCCCCACACTGAATCAGAGACATCCAAATGCTGCTTAGGATTAGCAATGTAATGCAGAAAAATGTGAGCCTACATTGGTCATGCTCCATGTAATAGAGTAGAGTCTCAATGGCAGCAATTGCAGTTGGCTTCAGGAGATCATCCTTCAAGAGTTTCATGAAATGATTCCTTGCATCTGAAAATAAGAAAATGACTAGTTTTTCATGTCTCTTTAATCCAAGACAGTAAGTCATCTAGCACTGTCAACAATTGGCATAAGTGAAAAAGAACACCCAACATAACTTTTACCAAGCCAAAGCCATTCTCAAGGAAATAGGCAGGTTTCCTGCAGAGGAGGGCATATACCTTTCAATAAGTAAATCAAATGCAACTTCCAGTCTGATGCTAATGTATGCAGAGGGTAATAAGCAAATGCTGTGTACATATCTTATGCATGCATGGAAAAGTCATGTCTTGGCTATAGTGACTCTTCTTATAGCTCCAAGTACCAATACACCAAAACAAAATGTCTTGTTGCAGTAATGTCAAGTGAATAGCTTCCCTACACACCAACATAGGCACCTTTCTTCAGGAATATGAAGGAAGTAACATGATACACTCAGGGAACTAGGCCTCTTTTTTTAAAAGAACTTCACCTTTCACTAGCTATAAGTTCTTCAGTCTTGAAGAAAAAGTCACTGAGCAAAAGTGTAGAAAACCATTGTCAATGCTTCCACTTTGGTCAGACCCTCATCTGATCTCCATCAAAACACAGAAGGAAAAGTTGAAGGAAATGAAGCTTGGTTTCAGTGCTATGAAACTAAGGTGTGTTTACAAACAGCAAAGGATGAGGATAAATGAAAGCAAACTCTGCATAGTAACTACAAACCTAGGGTATAGATAAGCCAGCAGGCTTCAGGAAAATATGCCTGCTCTACCAAGCAGTCACCAGCATAGCTAATTGGAGGTTCGCAATGCAGAAAGCAACAAGAGCCTATCAGACAAGCTTATATCACTTTACACACTAGACTGAGGTGACCATAAATTGACATTTTCAAAATGAAAATAGTGGGTGAATATTGCAAGTTTTGCTCATGTGAACCATAGATCTCTCTCTCCCTCCTCAAGAAGTAACTGTAAGAATTAGGTCCAGGCCATGGCTTTCTTTACATTTTGCAGCTGTCAATGCCCCCATCACACAACAAACAGTAGAAGTCAAGAGCCTCATAAAGGTAGCGCACTTGGATCCTCAGTCCCGAAGACTCGTTTAGGCCTAGGCATAATTCATGCGTCGGGAGTTTACTTCGGCTATCCCATAAAACCAAATGTACTGGAATAAGTTGGTGAAAACCTTACCTTCCTCAGAGACAGTCATTTTATTCGGCTTCTTATCCAAGGTAGATCCAGGATGACCTCGAGTGGTATGAGCTCAAGTCGGGACTTCAACTTCTCTCGATGCAATCCTCTGAATCTTTGTAAGCGTAAACTAACGTTAAATCACAACGGCAACTCCCCCAGTTCTTCATAAAAAAAAAAGAATATCTGTCACGGGGAGACATAAGTGAGTTCATGGAGAGCATAGATGGAAAAGTTATTTACTAGTAGAAAGCCTTCGCGAAATCTTATGATGGGAGATAAAATAGCACGAATTGTAGGAGCGCCTTACACCTGAACACGATCAGAATGAACACGAGGCCAAGGGCAGAGGCACGTGTTCAACAGTGTTGTCAGATGCTGATGCGTCTCTACTGACCACAAGCTCAGGTTTACAAATGCATGGGGGAGCTTCTAATGAAATAAATATATATAATTTATAAAGCAATCAACCTTGCATCTTTCTCGTAAAAAAGTATAACCTTTAAGGGCAAAAATGCACCAGGAAACCACTCAAGGGTTTGGACCACCAGAGAGGTCCTGTGCCCATTGAAACATTCAGTGTTTCGGAGCGAAACTCCTACCAAAATCGGCTAGTCATTTCTCGGATGCATGCAGAGAGTAAGATTCCCATAAAAAGGCATTTAATTTCCAGAGCCCATGTTAAAAGGTGGTATGAATTTATTTGCAACTGCTTGCACAGGCAATCACTGCAACCAATCCCTCTAGACAGGGAGGGATTAGTCATTAGTCCCATCCTTCATCTTCATGTTACAACCTTGGAAAAGCAAGACACTGCACCAAGTACAATAGATACCATGCATAGTCATTTATTGTGTCACTTTTGTCATATAAAACAAGTGGTTTACAACAAAAAATGATGAAAAGTTCCTGAGTTCAAATCAGTCAAGCGCAATGAGGTTTGAGCAACGATGAGTCTTGAATCACAGAATTTAGGAGATTCTTGTCTTGCAACGCACTCTCCACCTCTCCCTCGTCCAGCCTCAAGCTTGCCTGCAGATAGAAAATATGCAAATATATTCATGAGTCAATCAAAAGGAGCCACCCTTATTTCATCAAATGCAAGTTCTTCTCAGCAGCAAAATAAGGAAAATGTGATAGACCATATGAGTTCAGTTACATGTCTGCTTGCCCATAAAATCTGATTTAAAAAAAAATTAATTGATTTTTCTTGTACATTCTTCACAGAACACCATTTTTCTCTTAATAGTGGATATACACTTGACTTGATGGTGCACCATGCAACTTCTCTTTTTTAAAGCAATTCTCTTGTCTATCACCCTTGGAATCATTATCAATTTAATTTATACACAATCTGCACTTGACTTTAGTGCTTCCATGTGATGTTATAGTTACTCCTAAAATTCATTGAGGAATTGAGCTTCATACTTGCTAACACGAACTGCATGTAAGCCATTTCTGAACGAGGTAGCAATACCCATGCAACCATCAGATCAAACTACAAATTGCTCATAAGTAGGAGGGTTACAAATACAAGCAAAATAAACTGCGAAATGGGACAGATCAGGGTAGCTTGACACCGGGAGCCACCTTCAACTTCAATGTTGTTTCTGGTCTCCTCATAGCCAGCTGAATTCTGCGATCAGTGTTATACTAGTTTTTAAGAAATGTGGGCCTGAATGATGAAACCCCCAACAGCCCTTTAAGAGACTCCTATGGTAGAAAAATAGCTCTTTAGCTCAAAGACCCCTATCACCCCTAAATGAGGTTTATTCAATCTGGCCATAGCCTTCAACATTTTCATTCTCAGCACTCACGAGAGAAAGACGGACATCTTTCTTCTTTTTCAAGGCCAGAATCCCATGAGAGTCGAGGAGGGAGACGAGATGCACGAATTCGGAGGGGCTCACACCTTCCACACTCCTCTTATCACACACACGGCGAAACACCTCATGCCACTGTAAAAAATATCTCATTATAAAATTGCTCAGACTGCTGAAAAAAATATGGAAATAATTCTGGATACCTTGGAGATGGTGGTCTCCTTGGACTTGGTCCCTTTGGTGATGAGAAGCAGAGTAGCAACAGCCAGCTTTTGCTGCAGGGGCATCTCATGAGACGAACCAGAAATGAGGTTGGCCACCGATGAGCCAGTCGCTTCGTCATAGAGGGAAGATACTTCCCGGATCCCTATCTCTTTCAAGGGGAGCTTTTGGCACTGCCCTTTGCCTGAAACAGAGAAACCATGTTCTTTCCATTGATGCTGAAGACTTCAATAGGCCTGCATACAAGAAGAATACGTGATGGAAATTCACAAACCATTAGATACTGGCTGAAGCACAAGCTGCTCCTTGGCCTTGGCTTCGGCCAAGTTGACTGCTCGACGACACACATCCAATGCCATGCGGATGTCTCCGGCACGCCCTGCAATCTTGGATGCAAGGAATCGAAGTGCCAGTGGATGAAACACATTTTGACTATCACCTGCCTAAAAAATGAAAAATCTTCATTTGAACTCAAACTCTCTTGCATGCAACTCGGTTACACATTTTACTGCGCAAACCTGGTCTAGGCGAGCGCGGAGTATGTCCAAGATTTGATCTTTGGAGTAAGACTTGAAGTGAAAGAGCTGTGGACGAGCTGCCACACAGCCCTGAAGCCAGGGGAGCATGCGATCGGTCAGATCCAAGGCATTTGCCACGCCAATGAGGATCAAGCGAGAGGAAGGGAGAAGGGGCCACTGGAAGATGCGATACAGGATCTCCTGCCGTCGACTCGACAGCTGGTCCACTTCGTCCAACACCAAGAGTCTAAAAATGAAAATATTAAAGGGTCAAGATTGAAGGCTTTTTTTTTGCAAAACTTCCATCACAAGGATAGTTCTTCCTTCTTAAATAATAATAAAAAATCAAAACATATAGGCATAGGTCAACTTTACATTGGATTTCGGGAGCATGTGATCTTGTTCTCAATCCATGTGATTGTTTCCTTTTCTCCCTTCTGACATGGAAATGCCCCATCAAGGCCCTTGGCGATGTGAAAGTAGACTGATGACACATTCTTCACAGCCATACAGTTGATCAAAATTGCCTTGTGAGCTGGTAGATCATCCTGTCCAATAAAGAACTAATACTTGCAACTCATACTTATTACTGACATTTCAGAATTTCTTTTTTTTAGTACTCTCACCTTGAAGTTTTCAAGGATGTGGTTAATAGAGGCAGTCTTCCCAGTTCCAGGGGGTCCAGACACATAAAGGCTGGCTGAATTCTTTTTCCTGAGATTCTCTGAAATGAAGTCATGGAGGAAAGAGATCTCCATTTCCCTTCCTATCAAGGGTGCCCCAACTGAACTGTGTAGGGCAACCTTAACGGAATCATATGCTGAAACTGAAGCAGACACACTTTCATCATCTCATCTTCTCTGAATGACTCCAACATCAGCAAGAACCAAGCAGGCTTTCCACTTACCATCTGGTTTACACAATTGGAGAGGAAGCTGACGTTTCTCAACTATGGAGACAACATTCTCATCTGGCTCGTCTGTAGACGACTTCAAACCCCGTTTCTTTTTTGGACTGCTACTGCTCCCTGAATGAGATTATGCATCTAGTTCATGAAAAATGGCCAGGATATTGCACAGACTCATGAGAAAACCAGCAGGCAATACACACCATTGAGTGACAATGGGTTCTTGCATGGGCTCTTTCTTGGGGAACGAGGAGTCAGTGAAACACACACTGGTTGGCTGTAAAAGCTCCTCACTGTCTTTTTCGTCTCTGCACGACAAATCCCCTTTGGCTCTGCTTCCAATTCTTCTATCTTCTTTTTTGCATGCATTCTACTGGGTGTTTTCTTCTCCACTGGGAAGTCCAAAGACATCTGCTGCAACGCATGTTGCCTCGTCACCCGAGCACAAGACGGCATTTCTCTCATGATTTGGCCCCTGATTAAAACTAGAAAAAGAGTAAAAATTAGTTTTCCAAGGCATACCTTAAGATAAGATTAAATAAATTCATCCCCCTCAGCTTACTTTAAGGAATGAATGAAATTATGAGAGTAAAACTTTACTTAGACAAGCTAGATGGGGTGCTATGATTTAATTTGCATAGCACTGAAACCATGTTTCTGTCTAGAGTGTATTTTCCCATTTGTATTAAAACAGGTGCTAAAGCTAAAATAACTAATAGTATGGATGTAAAGAAAATTTATAAATACATGAGCTAATCAATGAAGAGGTCCAACCCAATGCCCAAACCAAAGGTCAGGCCTCACAATCCTCTGTCCTAGGCCATGGGCTAGACAAACACCAACTTGTGCATGAGCTCCTACAACATTAGACCCATTTGGTATGCCCAAGGCCTGCAATGAACGCTGGCGTATGCGACTAACACTAGCCCTATACCCCACTTTGGCCAAGGAGTAGTCAGACCTCAACGAGCATCATCTCATCGAGTCCAATTCGTTCTTGGATTGACAGGCTTTGAGAGCAACCTGCTCTAGGTCGATGCAACTTCAACTTCAACTTAGGCCTAGACAAAATCGGCTTTAAACTTCAGAACAGGAACCAGAAGACCCACGCCACTCTTACACAAGGGAGGAACTAGGCGAATGCCTATGGAACCGGTGGATTAGGCATTATACCTAGGCCCATTCGGCGGGCTCTATAGAGCTAGAAAGAGGAGGGGAGGAAAGCGCGGGAAAGACCCGCGAGAGAGGTAAGACAATCAGCTGATGCGACGTCATGGTATTGAGCCCCGCCCACTCCCAAGTCCCTCCACCAATCACGTCCCCGCATTCCCCTCACCTTCGCACATGTAGGCAGGTCCCCGTCAATGCCCGCCGAGCAGCTGTGAAAATCGGATTCCGATTAGAATGGCAGAGCCGAAATCCGTGAGAATTATTCCGGAGGAAACAGTATGCCGCACTCGCCTTATCTGGAGTTCCCGGTACACGTCAACGCGATGTCTCATGACGGAAGTGTCTTCGGTTTCAGCCTGGAATCATTCGATGCGCAGTTTTTCCGGCGTGACATCCGATCCCTCACCACGGCAAATGAGAAACTCGAGTGGAAGAAAAGGGGAGAGGAAACGACCAGCTGCCGGAAATTATCTGCCCATGAGTTATTCCAGTTTTCATTATTATGGGGGGATCGTAGTTCACATCGAATGCCAACTTGTCTCAATGACGTAATATTTCATGCCAGATGTCAAATATTTTTCTTCTCTGTGTGTCAGCCGATCCAACATCCAGGCAGTAATATTATTTCATTCCTGCCTTTCCCGCTACGATATGGGAGTTCTTGTAAATAGGGACGCCGTGTCCCCGTCGTGGAGCCGTGATCACCATGGAGAGGACGATGACGAGATCCACGAATCCATCGGGAAAAGCGATCGTACGCAGAGCGAGGCTTTAAGTAGGAAAGCCGATTCCTCTCGGCACGAGCCCGGCTCGATGATGCACGGAGTGGAACGAGGAGGAAGGCGGAGGGGGGAGAGATCGATGGCATCTCCGCTGGATCCGAGGGGAGGCGCGTCTCGGGTCCATATGGAACGCTTTCCCCCTCCGCGAGTCGCTTCCATCCCTCGCGAGGCCTCACTCGCTTCCGCTCCCGGCGAGTGGAGGCGTGTGCGTGAGTGTGTGAGTCTCGCCGCCCGATCGTGAAGCGGAGAAAGGGAGGCGATTCAGTCCAGTGCCGAAAGTGAAAGGGGACAGCGAGGACCCGGAGTGCTGGCCGAGTGAGACGGGAAAGGGCCGAGGGTATGGGAGGGTCGCCGTCGTTTAAAGGGAGCTGCCTCTTTTAAAGGGCTTTTTCCGGACCTGCGAACGTGTCGAAACGCGGGGCCGACGACGCGATGGATCCCACGAACCTTGAACTCCTTCTCGCGATGTGCCCTGCGTTTCGTCAGCCCCTATTGCCGTCACCAGTGGCGCGATCAGAGTGCAATTCGCCCCCCCTCGCCCCCCCTTCGCCCCCCTCGGTCGTGCCGTTGGCTGCTGCCGAGGGAGACGAGATGCATGCGAGCGTTCGATCGTCATCGGTGCGACGCGAAAAGGCTTCGTGTACTCGCAGGAAGTGGATCCGCGGTGCGTGGGTGTCTGGGGCGGCTGGATCGCATTTCGGGGGAAAATGTTTATCAGGGTTTCGTTTCGCGGCCGACCCTCGATCCGTCTGTCTGTGGGTGACGTGCACCGAATCCGTTTTAGCTAAACTAATCCGATCGCACGACGTTTTCCCTATGGAAATCAGTTTAACAGAGATGAACTCATTCCCATAGACGCCATCGTGAAAACGAATCGGTTTGAAGTTCAAGGAATCTGGTGCATGTCACCCCGCGTCGAAGTGTCCGGTTTCTTTTGGGATTCGAAGGGCGACGGGAGCACCGAAAGGTGCGAATCGCTTTGGGTACTGGGCTCGTACTAGTTGTCGGTACTCGAAGGTCTCGCAGAAAAAACTCACGCATCGTGAATCCATCCGAAACGAGTCCGATTTATTAGGATTAACGAGTCGGACTCCGACGCAAAAAGCACCCGCATCCGTCAGTATCGCACCTTTTTTTTTTCTTTCAGGAAAACGGGATGATGGAGCGGAATTAAATCATCCCGTTATTTACCCCGAATACCTGCTCGTCCCCGACGGCCGGAGGATGACCGAGAAAGGCGAGGACTCCGATCTCAGGCGGCTCTTCCCGGTGAGTCCGACTCCCCCCCCCCCGGGTCGAGACGACCTGTGTTTCGCGACTGAGACGACCCGGTTCCTAGCCGGAGGCCGGAGACGAGGAGGACGCGATCCTGCGGAAGCGGAGAGAGGAGAAGAGCTCCATCCCGATGGCCAGCTTCAACTTCGTCAACTCCATCCTCGGGTCCGGCGTCATCGGTATGGCACATCCGGCGTCATCGGTATGCCACGTCCGGTACCCGTCTCGGGTCCGGCGTCATCGGTATGGCACATCCGGTACCCGTCTCGGGTTCGCCTTGTCTCGCGTGCGCCGCCTCCGGCAAATAAAGAGAGTTAGGGAATAAAGTCATCGTTCGATGTAGGTCAGTGCGAGAGACGCCCGAGGCGAGGGTGCGTTTTCGCGGAAAAGACACGTAAGCGCGGCGTGAAGTGGCGCGATGCTCGGTCGTGAAGCGTCCATTTATTTCTTTGTTTTCTTAGTTTTTTTTTTTTTTAGTTTCCCCGCCGGAGGCAGTAGAGAAACCTTTCATCACGCCCGTAATCGCGTGAATCTCGTCTGCGTTTTGCCGGGAGAAAAAGGAAAGTTCGATGCCACCTTCACGGCTCCCGCCCTCGCGAGTGCCACCTTCGCGGGTGCCACCTTCGCGAGTGCCACCTTCGCGGGTGCCACCTTCGCGAGTGCCACCTTCGCGGGTGCCACCTTCGCGTCCGATTTCCATTCCCCGCGTGGGAGACGACGGAAACGCCTCTCGCTCTTCTCGGAAGACGGGGGCCCACGACATAACTCGACGCCCATGCAACATTCAACAGGGTGGAGAGAGACTCGGTCGAGCGAGACTCTTCCATCCCGACCCGCTTCAGTAATTTACGAGTTAAATAATCGACGAACGAGGCGACCTTTGTTAATTGGTGTTCCTGATCTGTTTCATGCACAGAGCCGTGCGCGGCCGGATTCCTCGAAACTCGATCCACGAAAATGAATTTAAATAAAATAATAATTATGATAACAATATTAATTATTTTTACAAATGATAGTCGATGCAACGATATATTTTTGTTTCAGGGATGAGTTACGCGATCCGGGAGGCCGGGGTCCTGATGGGGGTCCTGCTCCTCCTCCTCATCGGGGTCGTGAACGACTACTCCCTCGTGCTCCTCATCCGGGGCGGGGACGTGGCCGGGGTCGACACCTACCAGGATCTCATGTACACCGCGTTCGGGAGGCCGGGCTTCCTGCTCATCACGTTGCTGCAGTTTGCCTATCCCATCGTCGGTGGGTTTATTTTTATTACATTTATTTACATTGAATTTATTTTTATTACATTTATTTACATTGAATTTATTTACATTGAATTTATTTACATTGAATTTATTTACATTGCATTTATTTGTTTTGCATTTATTTTTATTTATGTATTTTTATTCCGTTTATTTTACTTGGATGCTTCACTTTCTGCTCGATTCCGCGTTTAAATTATTCCCCTGCTCTTTGAGTGGAGCAAAGTAATTAATATCATTATCAATCATCATGATCAATTTTGAATGTCCGTCCGTGTGCGTCGATTATGCATTCATGTATTAATTTTGCAAATGCAAAATGTGTGCAAATGTTTATCTTTTAAAACTGGCAGACGCTTATGAATATTCATACAAATGGTTATTAAAATAATGCATATTGTACAGAAAGAAAGGGAAAATATTATAAAGATATATATAAAATATTATTATTATAAAGAAAGGGTCATCGAAATATCTGAGAAGGCACTTTAGGTTTAACCATATTTTTTTTTGTTTCTGTACTGTTTAACATTTAACTATGTATTATTAATTATTCTGTTTCACGCCCGATTTCTGAGAGAACTGTAGACATTAGGTGAGTTTCGTTAAGTATGGCAAGTTGAGAAAATTCTTGGAAAATTGGAATACAGGTGATATCTACCTCATTTTTTTAGTCATGATCTCTTCTGATCAGTTCCGCCGAATTTATTATATTATATTATCATATCTTACCAACGGTCGAGTCCATTCCAAAGTACAAGGGTTCCATAAGTCCCTTGAGCCCCCCTCCCCCCCCCCATTTTTGGGTGCATTAGCGCCAACAAAGTGGAAAGAACGTGACACATTTCTTTGCGGATTTTCGAGCCCGATCTGGCAAAAAATCCTCAAGAAAATTTCTCATCGCACCTGGCGCCTCATCGTTCTGGTTTGAAAGAACGATGGCGCTCGTACCGATTCCCTCGATCTCCAAACGAGCCCCAGTTTATTAAATTATTATTATTAAATGTCGATACGAATGTTGTTTCAAATGGCATGTTTTATTTTGCGGCCGCTGTTCCTCGCTATCGTTCACGAGGGGGAAAAAGGGAAGACCCTGTGGAATTCCTCGCCCTCCCAAATCCCGCCTTTGATTCTGTCGGTTGGAATCCCGTGAGTCTTGCGTCGATAGAAAGGGGAAATTTTCCTAAATCTGTTGCGGATTTGTCGAATTCCGGATTTTGGGGGTTTGGGAGCCATTTAACTGGCATAAAAAGTTTATCTATCAGAGACTGGAGGTTAAATAATGCTTCATACTTAATTTTTTAAACCCTTAATTTACCGAGTGATTGAATTCTCATTGACTTTTCTTGACGATTTCAGAATGAAGAATTGGGGAATTCATTGGATTGTGTTAAACTAAGTAATTAGTTTAGCACCGTCGTTTTTTGTCCGTACGGAATTTAACGAAGTCTGCCAGAATCGTTTTTCTCGGTCCATCTTTTCTGCTTTGGCTGCTTTAAGCTTTCGCTGTTCGAAAATATATTTGGAAAAGCGAAATTCCTTCATTCGATTTTAACGATGACATTTATCCCGAGTTACCCGCAATGAGCAAAGTAAATACGATGTTACCTTTTTTCTGGCGCGTAAAACTCGACAAAAAAAAAAAGCAGAAACGGCGGATCGAACGACGATGATGGATGAAACGAAGGGGACGTTTACCGATCGTGCAGGGATGGTGAGCTACAACGTGATCATCGGAGACACGCTGAAGAAGCTGATGGGGCGGGTGACGGGGCTGCCGGGGGACCACGTGCTGGTGTCGCGGGAGTTCCTCATCCTGGTGACGACGGCGCTGGTGACGGTGCCGCTGAGTCTGTACAGGGACATCGGGAAGCTGGCGAGGGCGTCGCTGGTCTCGCTCTTCCTCATCGGGTTCATGCTGGTGGCGATCGCGTTCAGGCTGCATTCGCTCTGGGATGTCGTGTGGGTGGGAGGGGGTTCGCGGAGGGGGGTCGATGCAAGGGCTGGGAGAGGTGTGTCGACTATTAAAATCGGTTCATTTTTTTATCATTGCGTGACCTAGAGACGGGTTCTGGGAAAAAGGAGAATTAACGGGGGAAGAGATACGAGGAATTACGTAAAGCTTCACTCGGTGATTAGTACACGGGTGCGTTTCTACACACTTGGATAACCGCAGCCTTGCGTTTTCACCTTGTGGCTCCAGCCGCTCTCGGAAGCTAAAAAAAAATTCTCAAGGCTTTCCATCTGGCCGCGTTGCATCGATCCGTCGATTCCGAAAGAACCCCATTTATCTCTCTCGTGCATGGTATGTATGTATTTATTTGTTTACCGATTATGATCATCATGCGATGCAGACCGAGGAGCGTGGACGCGTGGACGCTGGTGGACACGGGATTCACGCGGGCCGTCGGCGTCATCGCATTCGGTAGGCTCACGTTCGGCTGGCTCGCGTTCGGCCGTTCGGACTCGCTAATCTGTCGCCGATCGGTTTCGTTTTTCGTCCAGCTTACATGTGTCACCACAACTCGTTTCTCCTGTACGAGAGTCTTCACGACCGGACCGTGTCGACCTGGAACTTCGTGACGCACGTGTCCGTGGCAGCTTCCTGTCTCATCGCCATCACCTTCGGCCTCCTCGGATATGCCACCTTCACTGGGTTCACTCAAGGTCAGGGCATCACGCGTGAAAGTAATTTTTAAAAAAATGATGCAAGAAAAAAAGAAAGGAAAAATGTGGAAAAACTAGAAATCGCAGGCAAAAAATGAAAGCGACGAAATAAAATAGATTTAAATATCAATTTCAAATAATAAAAGTGCATGTTGATGTATTGATGTCTCCGACAGGTGATCTGCTGGAGAACTACTGCCAAGACGACGACTTGATGAACGTGGCCCGTCTGGCCTTCGCGGCCAACGTGATGTTCACGTACCCCATCGAGTGCTTCGTGTCGCGGGAGGTGACCCTGAGGATCGTCTGGGGGGAGGCGGAGGCCAATCACATCAAGGAAGGGAGGGACCCGTACTATTGGAGGCACGTGGGGACGACGCTGGCGCTGAACGTGCTGGTGCTCGGGGTGTCGTTCATCACGGATTGTCTGGGGATCGTGCTGGAACTCAACGTAGGTGGAGGGAGGGAAGGAGGGAGGAGGTGAGGAAGGGATGACCCGAGGGAGATCTCTGTTGCAGGGGTTGATCGCGGCCATCCCGCTCGCGTACGTCCTCCCGGCAGCTTGTTACCTCATGGTGGAGGGAGGGGAGTGGTGGAGGTGGAGGAAGATGCCGGCGCTGCTGACTCTGGTGTCGGGGTTGGCGGTCATCGTCTGGGGGCTCTTCGTCCTCGCGTTCTCCGGGTTCCAGTCCAAGAATTGCAGTCACGGGGTGGAGATGGATTACTGCAGGGGGGGCTTGGGGGGGGTGGTGAATTCGTCGGAGTTCGAGTGGGGGCCGATGGGTCCGTGAGCGGTTGTGGCGTCGTGGCTGTGATGAGATTTCGTTTTGATGTTGCAAAGATACACATATATATCTAAATATATGAGTGGTATGCGCGCGTCGATACATATCAGAATAAATTGGAGATGCCCTAAAGAATCTTTCCTAAGTCCGTCTCGAATCGAGAATGGAGGTCGGGAATGGTTAATCGGGTGTGTAGGCACCGGTTGGGTATCCGTGGGACGGGTGAGAAATGGCCCCATGGCAACGATTACGTTCTCACAAGCATGGTGAGTGAGAAGGTAAAGACACCGTCCCTGTCTCTCGTCCCACCTTTTCGTGTCGTTTGTCCCAACTCTTCATCCAGCTCATACCCACCCAGAGGACTTCATCCAGCTGGGGATTCTAGTCCGTTCTGAATCTTCGTGCCGGGAGAGATCACGAATGCCCTTCGGCAAGTATTCCTTCGGATCTTGGCACCTCCTGCCGTCATGGCTCGCGAGACCCGAGGAGATTGAAGACGGTGGAGGAGAGGCTAACAAGCTCTCGAGGCTTTGAGTCCTTTCCAAAGACCGAAGAGATGCATGCGAAAGTCCCTTTCCCCCTCCGTTTCACGACAGTCTTCTCCGACCCCAAAGAATTCTCGTCGAGATCATTCTCCTGTCGGTGGAAGACCGGCAGGGGAACGAAGTTATTCTGGACTTTCTTAAAGGCTTCAACTTTTTTTTTTTTTTTCTTTAGAGATATAACCTTTCCTCAAAGAACTGTCTTTATCCTAGATACCATTTCCAAGCTCGGTCCTTCATATTCCCTGCCATTCGGCACGCTATGCTCGGCTGCTTCTACCAGAGCACCTTCAGGTGCACACGGGGCAGAGGACATTCGTTTCCATCCACGAGATGTGACGTTTTAGTTCCCCACCCCCCACCAAGGAAGGAATGGATCGTCGCAGTACAAGAGTGCACAATTTTTTTTCTTCCAATTCCAATGTTAGAATCTCTGGGGACATACCATTGGCATTAATCGAGTTAAAGCTTCATATGAACCCATAATGTAGCAGCAGATAACCGAATCAGTCAGGAGGTGAATCAAACGATCGATCGACCCGAAGGAAAAGGCCAGGATGAAGAGACCCACAGAGAGAAGCGCGTCGAAAGAATGCAGATGGGGCTAAGCCCAAGAATGCAAGCCGAGCGAGGTGAAAGAAAGTGTCAAAGTGAAGAGAGAGAATGAGGGCCGAGAAGCGTAGAAGAATGCAGGCGAAACTGCTGACTGCATTCCATCCACCAGACCGATCCGATCCCAGAACTTTGGCAAACGAGCCAGAAAAAAAAAAACCCCGGCGAAGACGAAAGGGGAACAGACCTTCACCTCGTCTCCTGGGTTCTGACAGAGGCCGGAGGTACGCTTCGAAGCAGGTCTCGCGTCGCCTCCTCGGATGCCGGCAAGGTCTTCCGGGAGGAGCCTCCAGAGGCACCCCCAAGGAGTTCTCGGTTCTCGGAGAGTCCTCGTCTTACGGCCCACGGATGCGTGCAGGCCCATGCCCCTCTATGTCCCGGGGCCCGTTTCACGAGGTCTCCCAAGAAGGAAAGCGATTTACCAGGAATGACAGCACTTTATGATTCTGCGGGGGTCCTCGCCCGCAAGGGTACGTAGGCATCTCTATGTATCATACAACAAACAAAACGAGGGGGAGTTTCCTCCACCGAAGCGTTCGACCCCATCCACCACTCGGTTGCAGTTCATCGTTCGACGGACGAGTAAGCAGAAACTCGCGAGAGAAGCTCTACGACCGAGACAGCCTCTACTGCCGATAAGCCCAGGAGAAGCTCCCAGATGGTGCACGCGACGACGGGCCCTCCCGACCTCAGACGAAGGAGCAGAAAGACTTGTCGGAATGTGGGGCGTTCGACCCCTTCTGCGGCTGTCACCTCTGCACCCCCTGCATCTGCATCGTGCTCATCAGCGGCCTCTTCACGGGCTTGTTTCCCAGCACCCTCTCCAGCTCCGCCAACACCCCGCCCGTGAGCTTGGGCACCACCTGTCCCCAGACCGAACGTTCCCAAATCACGCTCTCCGAGAGACCACCCACCCGAAGACGGAGTCCCTACCTGCAGACAGAGGATGTTCTCCGCCAGCTGCTGCACCGACGCCGCCCCGACCAGGACGCACTGGACGTGCTCGTTCTTCAGGCACCAGGCGAGACTGAGCTGCGCGAGGCTGCAGCCCAGCCGCTCCGTCATCCCCAACAACTCCTGGAACTTCTCCTCGTGGAGACGGAGGTCCTCCAGCGTGAGTCGGCTCTCCCTCATCGACAGGCCTCCGTCCCCCAACCCGCTTCCACCCGCTCCCACGAGGCCTCCACCCTTGGAGCCCGGCTCCTCGTCCGTTTGACAGTTGAGATTCGAGTACTTCCTCTGCAAACAGACTCGACGTGAACTCTTCCCGCTTCTGGACACCCCAACGCCCACCGCGAGAACCTCACCCTGAACGACGGCCTCGCAAAGAGCGTACACCCGTCCTCGGTCTTCCCCGTCGTGGCGATGAGTCCCGCCCCCAGCGGCGACCACGTCATGCACCCCACCCCTGCACCCACAGCACATCCTCATACCTCCCTCCCCCGACATCCACCCCCCTCCCAGAGCACAGATTCACCCCACCGATCTTATTGAACATCTCCGACATCTGCAGCTCCGTCTTCTCCCTGCAGAAGAAGTGATACTCCGTCTGCTCCACGATCGGCGGCGGGCAGTTGAACGTCCTCGCGTTGGTGTACGCCTCCATGATCTCCACCGCGCTCCACCTCGCCGTCCCCCAGTACATCGCCCATCCTTCGCTGATCACGTAACTCATCGCCCGAACCACCTCTGACGTGCAAATAGTGGAAAGCCATTCGAAAGCACATTCTATTGGAACGATACTGCCCTAACGTCGAACCGGTATTGGACCGGTATTGGCTACCAGTAAGGACAATACCAATTGGAAAAAAGGGAAAAATAAACATCTGTATACAAGGTGCGCAGAATGATCTTGCCGGGATATTTTTGGTTATAACTTTGCTGTATTTCATCCAAATTCCATCAAAATTTAATCAAACATTACAAAAATATATGGCAACAATATGCCATAAGGATTTTTCAAAATGTCCACCGCCGGCTGAGATACAGGCTTTAAAACGCTTTGGAAAGTTTTCCACGATGGCCGTCAGCTGTTCGACCTTAATGTCGACCCAAGCCTTAAGCAAACCCTTCTTCAGCGAATCCACACTGCTGTATGGTGTCGATCAGGCCTTCTCCAAAATGGACCACACGGCGTAATCCATAGGATTGAGATCTGGTGAGTTTGAGCACCAGACGTCTTTCCCCCCACGGATTCGGAAACTAATTCGAAAAATTCGTCGTCTTCGCTCTGTGCGCGTGCACGCAATCTTGTTGCAGCGTCCATTCGTTTTCGCCGAAACAGTCACGTGTCCAGGAGTCCAGAACTAATCTAAGGATGCGGTCTTGATATACGGCTGCATTGATCTTCGCCCCTTTTTCCACAAAAACCAGAGGAGTCTCGCCCGTGGCACAAATCCCAGCCCACGCCATCACCGACTGTGGGAAATGCGACCCGCTCACGGTTGAGGCTCCTTAGAGCAGTTCTGGACCCCTGGGCCCCTGGGCACGTCACCATTTCGGCAGTGTGGATTCGCTGAAGAAGGGTTTGCTTAAGGCTTGGGTCGACATTAAGGTCGAACGGCTGACGGCCATCGCGGAAAACTTTCCAAAGCGTTTAAAAGCCTGTATCTCAGCCGGCGGTGGACATTTTGAAAAATCCTTAAAGCATACTGTTGCCATATAATTTTGTTATGTTTGATAAAATTTTGATGGAATTTGGATGAAATACAGCAAAGTTATGACCAAAAATATCCCGGCAATAACATTTTGCGCAGCCTGTATATACAGTATATACAGTACATACCCGCTTTTAGGTAATCAGCTAATTTCCGGCCCATTTCCCTCGTCTCTCATAACGGAAAGCAAATTACAAATTTGGGAACTGAAGGGCAAACTTCCGGCAACCTGTGCCAGGATTCTAGCGTTGCCCATGAAAGTCGTCAGAAAATGGATGATCGGCGACATGATAACACGCTCAACGCATGTCGTCAACACGTGTCGACACCTGTTGAGAGGATTTGGCACGGGTCGCAGCGAAATCCTTTAATATCAGTCGAGTCACTTTATTTTTTTTTCCGCTGTGGGCTGGATCGGACGCGGAATTCGAGCCTTTTCCCACGGTCCTTAAGGCCCACAAGGCAAACAAAAATCCATTCCCCTCGGAACTCGGGGAGAGAAAGCCAGAAACCTGCACATACGATCCGGTCTGCATCGGGGAATGCTCCCGGCGCAGCGATTCTCGTCCGAAAACGATTCTTCTCCCCTCGCAGGAAATGAAGGAGAAATCGTCTAAAAGCTGATTGTAATCATCGATGCGTACGAGGTGTGGTTGTGGAGAAACTCCTCCATTCCCCCCCATGGGATTTCTCGTGAGGCTCTCGTATTAAGAATTTAAGAATAACTTCTTGCTAAATGGGCTTTAAAAAAAAAATTTCGTCAGTGGACTCTTCGACTCTGATCCTTTCAGATCCCTCTGATACGCCGGTTTACAGAAAACACCTTTCGGAAAGGTGTTTTCTGTAAACTGGCGCCACTCGAATGCCTCTAGAGGATCCTTGGACATTTTAGTCCATTTTCGAACACGATTTCATGCTACTCCAAATCTCTTCTATTGGTTAAAAAAAAAAATCTCCCCCCAATTTCATTAGGGAGATCAGCGTGTCCGTTCAAATCTCAACTTCAGAAAAATAAATAAATAAAATCAATAAGCACTAAATATTTCCTCATACCATTAAGACCCAACACGAGATCACCAGAATCTGCATGCATACACCAGAGAATAAAGGAGTATCAGAACCAGTCACGTTCCTTTCTTTCCCCTTCGCGCCATAGTCACGCACGAGCAGAACATGCAGGGCCACCCAGGTCATCGAAGCCACCCTACCTTCCATGGGACACATGGGATCCGCCTTGTGAAGGATGACGACGTCGATGTAGTCCACCCCCAACCGGTCCAGGCTCCCCTTCACGCTCTCCACGATCGTCTTCCTCGACAGCCCCCTCATGTCCCCGTCCGGGCTCGTCTTCCCCCAGTGCACCTTCGCCGACAGCACGTACGAGCTCCTCCTCCACCCCTTCTTCCGGATGATCCCTCCCAGCAGCGCCTCCGCCCTCCCGCCCGAGTAGACCTCGGACGTGTCGAAGTAGTTGATCCCGACCTCGTAGGCCCAGGTGATGACCGCCTCCGCCGTCTCCTCGCTCACGCCGGGGTTCAGCGTCGTCCACGTCGCTGCGGGCGCGGCACGGATCGACGGGAGTCGTCATTCGAATCGCTTCGATTGGCTACCATTACTGATTTTTTTCCGATTCGTTGAATCTTTGCATTTCGCCTGATGGCATTTTTTTAGTGAGGTAAATCCTGACGTGTTTGGAAATTTCTTGCCGATTTCCACTTTTCTCTGCACTCTGCAAAGTTACTTTCCCACGAACGATGAATAATTAGGCAAACGAGAAACTCGATAGTTTCCACCTTCTCCTCGGATCTACACTCTTAAACATGTAACCTTTCAGTAACCAGTGCTAAAGGTTAGAAAACAATTTTCTACCCTTTAAATCGAAGCTACTTCTAAGGTAACAGAGTGAAGGTTATCCAAAAATTCTGTATTTGAAACGTTATCCTTGCTGCGTTTGTCACATTTAGAATTTTCGAATCATACCTAAAAATTATGGCAGTTCAAGTGACACCGGATCGTTGAATGAATACGGAATGGAACTTTCATTAAAGATATTGTCCTCGTCCCATAAACGTTCTTTGGAGTCAGGGATTTCTACTTTCCACCGTGAAGGATGATGGAATTTTCCTTTGAGCGAACTAAAACCATGCCCAGAGATAAAAGTCTTCCCACTTCCGCATTTACGATAGAATCGGGCATCGGAAACTTCCAATCGACTCAAGATTCTGCCATGGAGTCACCTTTAAAGTTGAACCATCCTCCTAACAACCCCCATGATAGAGTTTTATGGAGACTCCTAGACTATGTCTACCTCTTTAGCCCAGTTTGTCGAAGAATTCAAACGTCTTCCCTTGCCCTGTCCGTGTGGAAAGATCGGGCATCGAGTTGATGCTAGTAGAGACTAATTCCTGCCGTATCAGGTATCGACTCTCGATAGCGGCTACTTCGGCGCCATCTGGCCCCGGTTCTGCGAACTTCTTGCGTTCTTTCGTGCTCGTAACGTTTCGCGCAAGCATAGACATTATTATGGAGGTCTTCAATTCTAAGTTACGACTGTCTGATGACTTTCTAGCAACTTTTACATACGTGGGTCCAGAAGACGATAAATGTCATGAGCCCCTGATGACTTTGAAGCACCGTTTACCTTCGAGAGTCACTTCTCGATAAATGTCACGTGAGAGTTACACTTTTAAGAGTGTAGGAATCGAAGGTTACGACATTTCGGTAACTTTCTTTTGACTTTAATACAGAGAGGTTAAAATCCCCGCAAAGGTTACGCACCCCTAGAAACTTTAAAATGCCGTTCAAATGCGGGAGTAACGCCTAAGTAAACGTCACGCAAAAATTACGTTTTTAAGAGCGTACAGATGGCAAAAGGACAGTCAGCGAAGGACCTCACCGAGACCAAGGTTGGTGACCTTGAGTCCGCTTTTGCCCAGATTGCGGAACTTGAGCCCGGGGATCATCCCCGTCCCCGTGGCACTGGTGCTCTGCCGGGAATACAACGACCTCGAGCGATGATGAGGGCTCGGGCTCGGCACCGGACTCGGAGGCGGCTTGGATCCCTCCTCCGCCTCCATCCCCTCCACCAGGATCCTGGTCAGACACACCCACGATCAACGGCGAAGGCGACCGCACGGGTGGCAGAGTCCTGCGCGGGACCGCAGAGCCCTCCGCGGGACGCCGGTTCCCCCGCGCGGCCCGTCCCCGCTCGGATGCGGACTCCGAGGTCCGGCAGGGATCCCTTCCAGGTCCAGAATGCACATTGCAAGACGATTCCTGGCAGGCAAGTTTCTCGGCCACAACACACACAAATAGAAAGAACAGAGACAGGGAGGTTGTACTTTTTGGCACAGACGCGCACTAAGGCAAAAATAACTTCTCACCCCCCTCTCTCTCTATCTCATATCCTCGGTCTCATTCACCCTCTCGCTCTCAACGCTTTCATTAATTTAGTTCAGAAAAAAAAAGCTCGCGCGAACGGCTGCACATTCTTTTCCCTGCGGTTAAAAGAAAAACCACAACGACTCCCCAGAACGTTCGGCTTCCCACGGTCGCACGGCACACGTCCCATCGATCGATACAAATATCATCTACCCCTATCGACGGACCGCTTAGAAGCCGGAGGAGCAAATGCACGGAGAGAGACGAACGGGTCCTGCGAGGGAACGACGGAGGTTCCGTGACGGGACTCCTCGGGACAGGTGGATCCAATCATGTTCCATCGAAGGAAGGATTCGTATCGATAGAATGGGAAGGAAAGGTTGACATAGGGACAGGTGGGGGGTCGAAGGTCTGGGATATATCAGCCTGTTTCCTCAAAAGAAGAAAAAAAAAGAAAGATGGATGGACCCGTGGGAGAGAAGCGGAGAGAGAGAGAGAGAGAGAGAGAGAGAAAATGACAGAAAATGTGGAAGATGTTTCTCCTAATTGAATCAACATCGACTCGGCCGAGAAGCGCCTTCCGTCCTCCTTTCTCCCCCTTCACTACCTCCCCTCCCTTCCCCTCCCCCTCCCCCTCCTCCCCTCCTCCCCCACTCCCCCCCGGACGGTTGGGTCCTCGCCTCGCGGCCCGTGCTAAGAGAGGACTCTGCCAGGAATCGTTCTCCTTCACCTTCGGCTCGGATACGTATCTGGCAGACGGCCACGTGTGTAACGTTTCCATCGGTACGCTGCAGGGGGGGAGCGACTCCATCGCCCTTTCGCCCTCGCGGGGCAAGGAAGGTTCCCGATTCCGAAAATTGCTGAGAGAGAGAGAGAAGGCTTCCGTTGGAAAATAAAATATAAAAAAAGAAAGCGAAACGCCCCGGGCAAACGGCGGCATTCGCTCCGTGAAACCCCGCCAACGAAAATAAATACCGGGTGAATAATAGTAATAACGAGAAAATATTCTACCACGGGGTCCTTACGAGCTCGTCCACAAAAATACGCTATGAAAGAATTCAGCAACATATAAATACCACACCGCGGGTAACAAAATTTCAAAAGACAAAAAAAAAACTCGGGATTAATTAGAAGTAAGAGAAAATATAATTAATAATTAGATGTAGAGGGCGCAGTTGAGGTCCAAGAGTAGTTGTCCAATCCAAGAAAGAGCACTAAAGAAGAAAAAACTAATCAACTAATTAATCAATTATTGTTATATTTTTTGTGCAAGCCTGCAGACCGCGACAGTCGTGAGACCACTATCTCCTTCATGATTAGGTAATTAACTTCGTATCATAATGTAGATTTGAAAGGATTTTTCGAAGACTTCTTCCAGAGCAAAAAAATCGTTGGGGGAAAAAAAAAATCCACGATTCAAGGACGTCCTGGCGGCGAACTTCAAGTGCAAGTCGAGTTGGAGCGGCTTAACTAACTACCCGATCCCGACGGTCTCGCTAATGAAGTCGCATGCTTGCAGAGGCCAAGACCCGAGCCAAAAGTGACCGGGACCGGATGACGGATGAGGCCCCTCTTCCCCCCCGCCTCCCTCGTCCATCATCCATTCCATACCGAATTATTCTTCGCACCTTATTTTTTGCAAAAAAAAAAAAAAACCTTGGAGCAGCGAAATTCCTGCAAGCGGCGCCGAGATGGACGGTTGGAAAAGTGTTCTGGCTCTTCTCGACCGCAATCACGTCCATGATTCGATCATGCAGCAAATATCCAATCGCAGAATGACCTTGGTCCTCGATCGGAAAATCTCATTTCCCACCCCAAGAACTCGTTTGGATTCCCACGCACGAACTCGAAGATCGGGAAGCTTCCTCCTTCTGCCGAGATCTCGTCCACCGCGTTTCATCCGATACGGTCCAGTACTTCCGGAAGTCTGCGACGACTCGTCGCTCTGCAAGTACTTACAAGTACTTAGAGACGTGATTCTCGGATCGAAAATTTTAAATTAATTCTTGCAGATGGCGTAACGGAGGAACCGTCTCGCTCCGAAGCCTTTCGCGGGCCTCGAGTACTAGGACCGAACACGCCGAAGAGTACTCGGTACCTAAAGCAAAAGACTTGGAAGCCAAACTCCCTTTCTTGGATTTAGCGACGCGATCCCACACGCGTCTCACCCGGTTTCCGAGCTTTTATTTCCTCTTCTCCCTCCTCGAAATGGAAATTATCGCATTACTCCCAGAGGCCTCTGTCCTATTGTCCTCGATCGCTCCTCATTTCTCCGAAGAGGAGCATGGAGTGGAGCCCTATCTCCCGGGGATAATTGGGGCAGAGTCTATATAGAGAGTCTATATAGACTCGATATAAAGTGTATATAGAACGCTCGCGGGAGCGAAGGGGGACGGAGTCGCGCACGGCTCATTGCCTCCGTCTCGATGGAGGCTTATCCTCCCGATAAACCTCCATCGGGGTCGGAGATGCTTCTGCTCGGTTTGTCGATGCGAGATGGCGGAATTCCAAAAGGCGGGTCTTTTAGGGGCGGAGGGGGGCGGAAGGGCAGTTTTCTTGGGGGACATTCAAGGATGGGATTCGCGTACTGGGTTTAAAAATAGTTTCTCGCTCCGTCCTTTCAATGTGCATGGATGCGGTTTTTTTTTTTTTTTTCAAGACTGTCATGAGAGAGGGAAACACCCTTGGATCCGTGCCAGAGAGAGACGGGGAAACTCACGCTGGTTCCACCAGGATCTTTTTCTGTCCCAGGGGCTTCATCACCAGGCCTGGGTCCTTCTCCCCCGCCTCCTCGTGACCTTGGGTGCCGGGGTCGCGGGGCTGACCTTGGCCTTGACTCTGACCTTGCACTCCGGACCGAGTCGGCGGGGGCACCGTGATCCAGAATTGATGTGCCATCACATATTCGGCGCCGAAACTGCGGGGAGAAAAGCGGAAAGAAAAACAACTCCCGACGGAGTCAACAAAATTCAAATGAAGCAATCGTCTTCTCGTTATTCGGGTCGACGACTGATCGAGCGCTTTGGGCAAACCATGAATATGCAAAGAGGGACAAGAGGGATTTGTCGAGAAAATGATGAGCGCGGGAAGTCGACCGTGAAATTACTCGCGACCCGGATCGACTTCTTCGATGGAACAACAAGTACCGAGAGGCACGTGGCCCCGTGCCAGAAAAAAAGCGGGATGCGTTGATCCTTCCGACGAGGAAACGCTTATTCCACTGACCTGGGCCTGGCTGCGAGGGAAGGAGACGAAGACGAGTCAGAGGTCATGAGACGAGCGCTGTCGGGGCACTGAGGGCGAGTGACGCCTCCTCGCTCCTTCCCATCCGCGGGCTTCCACGACGTCGGTCCATGCGTCGTCTGCTCTCGGTACGTCCATGCGTCGTCTGCTCGCAGTACGTCCATGCGTCGTCTGCTCGCGGTACGTCCATGCGTCGTCTGCTCGCGGTACGTCCATGCGTCGTCTGCTCGCAGTACGTCCATGCGTCGTCTGCTCGCGGTACGTCCATGCGTCGTCTGCTCGCAGTACGTCATGCGTCGTCTGCTCGCAGTACGTCATGCGTCCGATGCTCGTGCTCCGTCGAAATCCATTTTCGTCTCTTGATTTGTTCCATCCGGGACGCCATGTCTCGACAGATCAGGGAAGGGAATCCGATTTTGGCCCCACTCCATTACCCAGACGACGGAGTCGTCGGTGCATCCTCCAGTTCGCTGATTCGGGAAACGTGTCCTCGTTTAAAAAGTCGAGAGACTCGAGACTGTAAATAGACCGAGAGAATCCAAGAGGAAAGAGGAAATGATTGTGCGCCATTCGTTACGTACAGCTCATTCCTCAAAAGTTTCACAACGTACCAGCAGAGAACATCAATCACGGCAATCTGGACCATGTGTTGCACGCACTATATTACTAAAATATTGCCAGACCTAAATGGATATTAAATCAAGTTTGCCTTGGAAGTTTAGCTCTTGAAAATGTATGTCGATTAGGCAGCGATAATAACAATTTCAAGTAAACTAATCTAGTGGTCACGGGTGAATTCCCATACAATTGGATTCCTATTAATAACTGCTCCCGAAATAAAACGAAAATGGACCGTTTCAGTTTTTTTTTTTTGCATTCGAAACCGTTTGGTGAAGAGCCAATTGAGATATGCTGGGATACAGCGCAAGTTGCACGCCGTCGGTTTTGGTTCAGATTCCTCCTAAGTCTCGCTTCTCAAATTTCGCCAAAGGTTTTGCTTTTTTTATGGCCAGAGACGGAAGGGAGTTGTTTTATTTTCCGTCGCAAGTCTCGGTCTTGGTTTTCGACAAGGTGGGAAATATTACTTTCACTCCCGGTACTAGTCCCAAGAAATAATTGCGGCACGATTTCGTCTCGTTTGTGACAACCGTTCGGAAGGCTGATTCGCAGACGAGGCAAACTTGGCACGCATCCCGCACGAACAAATCGATGAAACGCGTGAAACGAGCCCGAAACGAGGGGACCCTCCTCGGTCGCGCATTCTCGATTGGACCGGGGAGGAGGCGTCTCTCTGGTCTTGGACGTCCATCCTCCGGGGTCCTCTGGAGTTCCTTCCTCCCTGGATTCAAGAGAGAGGGTGAACGGAGAGATGAGAGGTTAGGAGGAGGAACAAGTGGCAGGAGGTTAGGAGGAGGAACAAGTGACAGGAGGTTAGGAGGAGGAACAAGTGGCAGGAGGTTAGGAGGAGGAACAAGTGGCAGGAGGTTAGGAGGAGGAACAAGTGACAGGAGGTTAGGAGGAGGAACCGGCGACAGGAAGAAAGAAGGTAGGAGGCAGAAGGAGGAAAAAGCGACTGGAGGTTGGGAGTCCTTGTGGGTAACACTGCGGGGTACCTCTGGCCAGAAAGGGCCCCCACTCGCGTGGATCCCTGCCAATGGTTCCAGGTGTCCCTCGATGGCGAAGGTCATCCATCTGGTCCCATCGTTTCCCAATCTGTGCTTTTCACATTTCAGACGGATCTGGAAGATTTCTAGGTTTAAAAAAAAATGTTTACCCTGTGCTTCAGGCGCAATAAACTCTCAAATTTGAAGAATCGAAAACCCCAGCTTTATGTTTAAAAAATATATACATGTATAATAAATTAAATGTATAATAAATGTAATGCAAATAATTCATAATAACCAATGATAAACTGACCCCTGTAATTGTAAAACTGCGAACCAATATCAGTGAAACGTGATGAAAGGCATTTTTTCGTAAAAATTGACTTCAACTTTTAACATTTATTACATTCGAAGAACGGGGTGAAACTTTTCTTCAGTCTGCAGACGGCTTTCATTTTCATCTGGCGACGTGTTGCCTGGGAAAAGGCAACAGGCATCCAACAGGCATTCGGGCTTTCGCCTGGATCTCCGCGCCCAAAAATGGCTCTCCAAGAAACCCAATTCGAAACGAATGAGGAAAAAAAGAAAAAGAATTGGGTAGTTCCGTCGAGAAAGACTAGATGGCGGTGAGGAGAAGTGGGACTTCCGCTCACTGGGCCAGTGAGAGAGAGACGGTCTAGCCCGAGGGATCTCTTCCTGTTCTTCCACTGCCCTTGTCCTCTGGTGCTGGGAAAGGCTCTGAAGGCTCTCTGACGAAGGAATTCCATAGGGCCGTATCGAATTATATCATTTTTCTCGATGGATATATGTTAAATGGACGTATGGAAATTCGATGGAGATTCCATAGGAATCATATCGAGAATTTTACACATTTTCTGCAGAATTCTACGAAGACACCGTAAAGAAATTCATTAAATTTCGCCGAAAATAAGTAGATAGTGTTGCCAAAGTAAAAGATATTGAATTAGTTAGCCTTTCTTCTTCGAATTCGCCTCGTATTAAGTTCATCTAGAATTAAATAGACTGCGAAGAGCCTTCTAGAAGGCTCGCATCCTCGGGGGGATCGTGCATGGAGGAGTCCTTCCATCTTGAGCGATGCAATTTTAAGGGGCTGGGATTGGGGCCAGGCTGGAACATGCAAATTTACTTTAGAATGAGAGAAATCGGATCGGCTGAATGTCTTCTATCTGGCCTCCCAACTGGGAGGCCTGGCTCATGAGCGATGGATGAGGGCCTGACACGAAGCGTACGATGGCGAGGATGCCGCAGGCCCCGCCGGCTGCTTCGCGCGCGAACGGGCGACTGCTGGTGAACGGGCGTGTCTCCAGAGGTCCGCTGGCCGAAATTAGAAAGCTGCTCGGTCGTCCTAATTCGTATTCGCGCGGTTGCCACGAACGAGAGAGACGGAAGATGCGGTCTTCGCGAGCGTCGCGTTTCCTCGGTGGGCTCGATGCGGTTCGTTTCGAAGTCCCGGAACTCGCAAGGGGAACGAGTCGGGAACGGAACGGAATCGAAAACGTTTTCCTCGGACCGGATGCACCTCTACCCTTCGAGAGTTCCCCGGATGTTTCCATTTCCTTTCGCACGTTTTCGATTCGACGCGAACTGTCGGCACGGAAACGTTCGATCTCTCGTTGCAGCCACTTGCCACTTGCAGCAGTGCGACTCGTCGGGCCACGAGGCCGATCTGTACCCACCTTTCGTGCTTCGTGCTCCCTCGTTACGACGACGATTTCTTGCCCGTCATTAAGATGAGGTGCAGGCTACCCCAGGTTTTTCGTGGGCTCGCCGACACCTCTTGGCACCCACGCGGTCGTTCCCCGCTTCTTTGCCTCTCACCGTCGATCCGTATCTAGTCCCGTCCAGGTGCAACGAGCGGTCGATCGAATTCTAACGACGTCGAAAACTCTACTGAAGTCTATAGGCCTCGAGATTTTTTCCCGGGCGACGAGGGCTTGGGCCTACCGATCGGCTTTTCCATCGCGTCGTCGCTGCGGGCCCGGCCGACGACCCGCTCGCGAACCTCGTCGTCGCGAAGATCTGTCCTTTCTTTCGTCTTTCCAATTGTCATAAACCAAAGCCTCTGAAGGGTCACGTCGTTATGTGTCGTAAAAGTGACACCGAGCTCGTGACGACGACGACGTGAGTTTTCCCCGCACTCGGAACGGATACGCGGCATCGGTCCGGTGCGTGTCCGTCGCGAGACGATCTCAAAGCGAAATCTGGAAAACGGACGCGAACGACGACCGACGCCACGGCTTCGCCTTTCAGACTGTCGCGAAGAGGAGGATGCGGGAGACGGCGGGTTAAGCGACGCGCAGCACTGCGAGACGCAGTGTTGCACGGGCTCCGCTGGCAACCCTGTCTCCCCCCTCGGATATAATATCTGCGGTCCCTCTTTCCACGATTCGAACGTTCGAATTTCGCGATGGGAATTTTTTAAACACGCGTTTCTCCACACGAGGACGTCGTCGTGTCGATCTGCATCCCAACTTTCACAGATGGATATCATTCTATGCACCGTCGACCGACCGAAGTGGGAGAAAACACCCAGTCGAGATGGAGCGATGAGGGGGATTTTTCCTCGGGGGAAAGAAAGCAACTGAAAAAAAAAAAATGAAGAGCCGCAAGCGTGACGCTCGAATCGGAAGCTACTTTCGGTTTCAACACGAGTTCGAAGTTGTAAATTAAAAGGTTTTTTTTTTGTTTTCCCTAACATGAAGTGCTAGTTCTCGGCAGGGTGATCGGTCTACGAGAAAGGATCTCGCTTTCGAGTAACAAGTTTGATTGCATTTCCGTCTCGAGCGGGAACGATCGATTACGGGAAAACGTTTCACCACCGGGCGAGGTCACGGTCAGAAACCTGAGACGGATGGGAATCGGTTTAGTGGTTCACTCGACGGGGCAATTTCGGCTAGAAAGGGCCCCGCTCGCGTGGATCCCTGCCAACGGTTCCAGGTGTCCATCGATAGCGAAAGCCCCATATAACCCCATCTGGTCTCATTGCTTTCTTCTGGGCTCCATTTCGTAGCGAGATGGGGTCTCCTCCGGCGTGCTTCTATTTTTGTCGAATGGACTTTCGAACGAAGACACAAGAACAGTTAACAGGCATTCGAGCGAAAATTCGATCGCAGAAGGAAATGACGACACAATGGCTTCAAGGGTTCCAGTTTTCTCATAACATTAATATATTTCTCACTTGTATTCACAGAGAGTGCGTACAAAAAAACTCTTCATTTCATCTTCATCGTCTGAGCCGGAAGAGCAAGGCCTTCTCGCGCCCAGAATAAAAACAGGTACTAATGTCACAAAAAAATCAAGCAATCATTTTTTCCAATATAAAAAGGGAGAGGAATCGATTCATCAAGCAATAAACCACAAGCATCACTTTTTTTTTCTTCGCTCTCCTCATTTTTTAATTTTCTTTTTCTCACCCATTTTCTATCTTTTCGGCAGGCCACAGGATTTTTTAAAATTCTCACCATAAACAGATCTGGGAGGACAGGGGGGGGGTCAAAATAACGTGTCGATTGCACGGCAAACGGGAACGAGACGCCGGGATGCGGGTTTTCTTTCGAGGAAACGGGAATTCGTCGGGAAACGCGTTTCGGATTGAGCTTCATCGCGTGACGCTGACGATTACGCACATGAGATCATCGGTGCTCTCACGCAACGCAAGAGTGAGGAGAAGGCAACGGAGATGCGCTGGTAGAAAAGGGCAGTCTCGAACGAGGAACGGAGAAGAAGACCTGGCAGTGATCGAAGGGAAGACGGGGAGAATTTTTTTTTCTTTTTCTTTTTTTCCCGACAGGAGACACCAGAGGCATCGTTTGTAGCAAAAAGAAATGCAAGGGTAAACGAGAGAGACGGAACGGCAGAGCTAGTGACAGCAGAAGAAGGCAGTGACCGAAGAGGTTGAGCAATAAATGCCATGGAAGTCGAAACGCGTTCCCGGAGAACGTGAGAGAGAGAGAGAGAGAAATGGAGAAACGGACCCCATTTGACCACCGACAGGCACGACAAGGCACCGTCTACGAAGAACAGTCCGAGAGCAAAAGGCAAGGCTCGTGAGATGTGGCAGCCGAGAGCAAAAGAGAGAGAGAGTAGCGACGTGGCAGTGTCAGCAAGAGAAAGAGCATAAAGAATTCGCGGACGACACCTCCGCATCCGACGGCGTCCGGCACGTTCCATGCCCTCCATCCAGTCGTCTCAGAGGACGACGACGCACGCACGCACCACCGCATCCCGCGTTCCCGTTTCCCGACGTCGTTACCCTATTATGCATGCCCATCGCTCCCGCGAGAGGAGGGAAGTGGAAAATCTCTCAACTGGAAATAGACTCAATCATCAGAGCAATCAGTCTCTCTTAATCAGCACTCGTGAAATCCCTGACTCTAAGATTCGAACGTGAGGACGGCAGACGACGCAGCGAACGGGCGTATCTCAGCACCTTTCCAAAAAACAGACCCAGCAGAGAGGAAAAAGGCACACGAAAGACAGAGAGGAGAAACGAAGATACTCGCACGCGCTCGTGATGATGACCGTGGTGAAGATGACGAAGATGACGACCTCTTCCGCGCGAGGTCTCACAACCATGTGCCCCTTGAACACGTAAGACGAGAAAACGAGAGGTCCACGATGAGAAAAAGGGAGGAAAAAAAATTCTTTCTTCCCATCATCCATGCACGAGTTTCAAGTATGCACAGGAGAATATCACAGCACCGCTTTCCATCTTCTTCTTCTGCATTTCCTCCTCCATCGCTTCCCTTTCCCGCTTTCGAGATGCACGGAATAAAAAAGAAAACTGCCTCTACGGTGACTCTCAGATGTCCCAGATCTCGGCCAGAAACGCGGGAAGCTTCTTGTTCTTCAGCTTCAACGAGAAGCAGAGTTCGGAGTTGAGGTTGCCCAAAGTCCGAAGCTCGGGGAGGATGGTGAGGAGTTTGGCGAACGTGAGGCCCGGCCGGGGGCGCTTGCTCTCCAGGTACGACCTCAATGCCTCCAGGTAGATCTCCTGGATCTTCTCCACCTTCTTTGGCTCCAACAACGAAGGTCTCTCTGCGGGAGGCGAGGTGGTGAAATCGACGCTCGACGGTTCCACGAATCGTAATGAATAAATATCTACTTTCGAATTTACCTACATTCACATCTGCATTCAAATGCATTTTTGATGAATATTAATTTATTTAAACTACGTATTCGACGAACGTAAGGCTTCCTACCGGAGAAGATGACGACGGCCGTGAGGAGGGCGTATTCGGCGTTGTCCACCTTCATGAGGCACATCTGCCTGCAGAAGTGGAAGATGGCGTCGGCCACCTCCGTGAGGCCGGCCGAGTTGTAGTTGTCCCTCGTGTACGGGTGGTTGTTGGCGAACACGATGCTGTCCGTGTTGATGTCGTACCTCCGGGCCGTCCGAAGCATCATCACTTCGCTCGAACACGCCTGCAACGGACCGAGGGAATGGGTAATTTCTAGTCACTCGACACGGATTTTCCTCGCAAAAAAATAATGGCATGAAAGTATGGCCTATTCGAGGTGAAGGCAAATTCAAAATAAAAGGCAGTCCAGTGCCTAGGGAACTTTCATTTCCAGTTTCACAGTGTTTTGGCTACCTAACTTTTCCAGCTGGAACAATCCCATTCCGACGGAAATTGACTTCCAATGTAATGGGAATGAAACATCCCCTCCTGGTTCCTCATGTGGACCACCATGTAGAGTGTAGTTATTCACCGATCCCACAGAAAACATCTCATCTTCAATTTAATGCACATGTTTTCTGGGCTAATTGCACATTCTGTTATTTCCCCCCAGAGAGACATTTCAGATTTCAGATTTGCCCCTTCCCTCAAATTATGAGAGATCAATCAAAATTGCAATTGAGATTTCCATTGCCCTGGGCACATATACAGGATATAGCAAAAAAAAAGAAGAATTTTAACCTATATATCTCTGCTCTTGCTGGGCTCAATTTCACAAAACTCACTGTGTTCCACAGACCCTCTACATTTCATCCAAAACAATATCATCATGAGACTATAAATATTAACCCAAAAGAAACTGGATATCGAAACGGGAAAAGGAACTCTGATCCCTTTCGAATGCCTCGTTCTGTGACAAACACCGAGGGGAAGGTTCCGGTAGGGATCCGCTCCAGGTGTGATCTGAATGAGCTTTGAGCAGTCATTATTTTGATATGTATTGATTCACCAATCAAAGTTACAATAGGCATTCTTCCCATCAATCTGCAAGAAAAGGCCAAGGCCAACCTAGAACATCAATGGTGTCTGGATGATACAGAAGCAGAGCACTTGTGTCTTCCACACCAGCCTGAGCTTGTCCATTTTCATTATTCTACTCCTTACTTCTTTACTAAGATTGTTTTTTGCTTGGTTTGACATGATTCCAATGTAGGTTCATCATCCAGAAATGAATATAGGCAGGTAAGACAAAGGCTCCATCGATTCGGGAGGCCGAAGGTCAGGTACAGATTTACGACCTCGAGCCCGGTTACACCATCGCCAGCATTATTAGGCATATCTGCTGCACTAATTGTGCAATGCCAGGCCAGGTATAGAAGGAAATGGCATCTCAGTGTGTTGTTTCTTCACGATAATTTACCATCCCACACATCATTGGTTGCCATGGATGCAATCAATGAATGAGGCTTTCAACCACTGCCACACCCACCCCATTTCTCGACCCAGCCCCCTCCGACTTCAATTCGTTCCACCGAATGAAAACATGCTTCAAAGGTACCAGAGCTTGAATTCAACCAGATTATGAGGGCAGAGCATTGCCTTCTCAGTGGACATTGAGTCCAATAGCTGAGTTGGTCCAAGTTTGTAGAATGTGCAAAAGTATCCAAATGTGAACCTAGATCAAATTCATCACAGTCAGGCTTAGAACTCATCAAAGTCGACGTAGAACGTAAAACCGGCTCGAGAGACGATCGGCCGATTTTGGAAGAAAACGTCCGAGTATCGAAAGCCAGGAATGAACCAAAGTGGAGTAAATAACATTAACATACCTTGAGCAAAGTGATTTGGTCTTCTCGTTGTAATGTATCGAACCCAGGTAGCCGCTTGGAAAATTCTACTATCAACTGGACTGTGAGGATGGTCATCTCAGTGATGTGCTTGAACCGAGACTCCTGGTCGTCTGATTCAAATGCAAAGTTCTGTAATGCCAAACAAGAAAAATGTTGAATATTTTTAATCATGCCCAATAAGAACATCAGTATATACTACTGAAATGGTGATATATGTATCACTGTGATGAGGTACAATGATATAAAAAACATATAAGGGATTATGGAATCTAGACTCTGTATAATGTCAGAAAATAACCAACCAACTTTGAAGGAAGCATGAGGGGGTCTGAGGTAACTAAATTACTAAATACAGATGCAATTTGCATTCCATTACTCATTAGGCAAAGTCACTCACTTATAAGTCACTCATTAGGCAAAAAATGTATAGAATTCTTCAATTGTAACATATCCTGATCAGAAGATACAAGGGCTCTTAGCAAAGGATGAACTTGGTGCAATATAGGAGAAATACATGAACCTGGTTTTAGCACATTTTACCCATTCACAATGACTCATGCATGCATTTGAGGAGCACTGGCAGACATGGAAGTGAGAAGCCAGATGAGAGTGGCTACAGCTACAGATAAATGGGAAAAATAGAAAACACATTTGCAAGGCATCACTTTCCATCCATGGATGTGCGTTCTCCCTTTGCCAATGTAAGGGAATGCAGAGCAAAACAATGATGGCAAAAAGCTAATAAAATGGTGCATATGGAATGGCTGAAAACAGACAGTGGAAAGAAGAAAGCAAGCTCACGAGCAACGAGACGAGTCTGAGCGTCTGCATGCAGCAGAGAAGAGACAATGCATTTCATGCATCACTCTGACAGTGACTCACATGACTGTTTTCTCCCATTTGCCTCCAGGGTAACAGTCACAAGGAGTCGGGGGAATTTCAAAAGTATGAACGACTTCGGTCGCCCCGATTGCATATGACTCCTTTTTTGCATGCACTCCATACAGAAATGCAACCCATGCAATAATGACACATTGATAAATGATGCAAGGCAAAATATTGGACAGAGCAAAATGGGAACATGACCATGATGAAGAAACAAGGTCACAAGAGTACAAAGTAAACATCCTGTCCTGAACCTCTGACCCCAATCTGCACTGGCATTTGCATGGCACAAAACACCTACCAACTTTTTCATTTTCTCCCCTCTTAGCTGATTGGATGCAATGAAGCATGCAAAAGTCAAACAGGATCAGGCCTCACCGTGATCTTCTTGATATCATCCTCGGAAGGCTGTTCGAACTCCTCTTGAAAGTAGACAAGCCTGTTGATGAGCTCCTCTTGCTCGGGACTTAACCTCCTCACCAGCCCGTTCCCATCCAACATCTTTTGCAAAAACCAGGAACGGATTCCATCAGTTCGGCGTCGTGGCACAAGAGGGGGCAACGTCACGGTTTGGGTTTTAACCCTTGTCGTGCCGATTCGAAGCCGACAAAACATTTATCAATGTCATCTCCTTGGCACAACAAGGGTTAATGATCACTGCACATTCAACATGTTGAGTGGATGTTGAAAGGAGGAGGGCAAAACAAAATGTCTACATTAAAATTTGTGACAAAATTACTGCATTAAAATTTGTGACAAAATTACTGAGGTACAATAGACTGATGCACATTCTGTGCAAACTTTATACTTTATAAGATATTTTAATATTTTAAAATCTACTCTTCCTGCTCCTCTGTTTTTGGAAAAATGAAGTTCCTTCTGGCAGTTAGCTCCATTCTATTACACTTCATGACTCAGTCTATTTTCACCATTAGAATTTTGGCATCTGAATGAGAAAATCTGCATTTCACGATCCAAACGTGTACGAACCGAGGAAACACGACCGATGGCAGAAGGCCACATTGGGATCTTTCTCGAAAGATAAGAATTATTCTGCCAAAGAAAAGATGTTTCTCGTGGGCTTCCTGCAGAGAAAGAGTCTCCATCTGGTGCGAGTCGAGACTCGATACGGTCGGCAGGTTGCCGGTGCAGGACACGGGAGAGAAAAACTGGGCTTTTTATAACATGAAATATCCCACCAGACAGGCAGAACCATCTCTAGGCAATGCAGGGGGCCTATTGAAGGAAGGCACCTTCTCGGACGGAGGAGGGGGTCCTTCCGGCGAACAACTGGTGGTCGAATTGGGCCGATCCTTGTCCTTCTGGGCCTTCTTCGCCTCCCGTTTCACTGCACACTGATACTCTGGCACTACACCTGAACGGGGAACAGGAATAACACATTTATAAATCAAGTTTCACCAACCGTGATGAAAGATGGGCAGAGAAAGTTCTCTCTCGAATGTTCTCAAGGTTGGGTCATATCATGGTTGAGGGCTATTACAAGAACAGAAAAAAAAAAACCTAAGGAAAGGTGAAAGACACAGAAACAAAGGCTCACATTCAGGCCTCATCCCGACGCTGAGGCACTTCTTGAGACGGCATTCCTGGCACTTTCGTCTCATGTACATGTCTATCTCACAATTGTTCCCAAATTTGCACTGGTACACTGCATTCTTGGTGATGCTCCGCCTGAAGAATCCTGCAATGGAGACGAATAGGAGATGGATATGAAATCCATTTTTCTTTCAATATCCCCCATTCATCCTTATCACTCCCAATCCAAAATCCAATACGGTTTCGATTAAATTTAATCCGGTCGGTTTCCGAGTGCATCGGCCGCATTACCATATTGCAAACAGAGGATTATTCGTGTGAAAGAAAACAGCTGACATCGAACCAACTTGAAAGTGACAAGATTAAAGATTCCCACCACAAATCCTGAAGACATTCACCTGCCAAGGTCTGCACAATATGTCATGTTCATGGAATGCTTGCTCAATCACCATGACTGGCAACCACCTGGCCCAGAAACATCTTTTGTAGCTTCTCCCCCCCCTCCCATCGCATTAATACATCACAGAACTGACCACATAACCACTTGCTAATAAGATATTGCAACAATACTCATCTGGGGTGAAATGAGGTCAGGTTGGGTGGGAAGAACAAAAGCTCCATGACCCTTCAGAAAAATATACATGTGAAACTGAAGAAAACTCTGAGACAACCAGGACTCTTTCAAACTTCTAGATACCAGTACTGGCAACTTACAATTTTCATCTGTGTCATGAAGTAAATAAAATTATAAGTTCAAATGAAACAAAAAAATATGTAAGTTCAGATGCTGAATATACCCTGCAGGCCAACAGTTCTAGTTCAAGGTTAATTTTTAAAAAAGGTTCCTCTTTCTCGGTCAAATTTGTGTCTGAGCAGTGGTGTTATTTTCCACATATGACTCCATCTTTATTTCAATCACTGAGAACCATAACGAGCAGAATATGCCTTAACACCAAGGCATACTCGACTCGACAAAAAAAGCAAACAAAAAATATATAAAAATTGGCACCAACTCTCTCATGCTGTCAGCATTCAAAAATATATGGTGCACATCAAAGAAGATAGTTGAGGATTTTCCATGGGAACTGGGTGTGGTAAACACTTTGGCCTGCCTACCTTCAAGGTATTCGTTTTGCTTCCTCACCCCTGTTTAGTCCATCGACACCTCTACATACGATTATGTGAATGTTTTGCACTGCTCGATGCCATGGCTACCATTCTGCATGACCGTTTTTGAACATTTGAAAATGCAGCTCGTGGAATATAGAGAAGCGATGCCTGTTTGATTTGCGGAGCGGCCAAGTAAAAACTTTCTTGCAGTCTCTTTACACATCTGTTTCGTGATATATATTTACGGCAGAGTCGTTCCTTCTATACCGGATCGGAAAGCCGATCGATTTCGAATGCCGGTTCCGCCCGAGGTGGTGTCGCGAGGCCGACGGTTCGACCGTCGGTTTCCGATCGGATCCACGACGTGCGATCCCACAGAGAGAGGAGAGGGAGCCGAGAGTGCATCGACGGCCGATACTCGTTAGTGCAAATACCTGGCAGGACATATGGCAAGATACGGATCCCGCGGATCGGTCGGCAGACGTCACGACTCCCGAGGGATGCGACGGGTGGCAGAGACCTCGGGTCGCACGAACGCGATCGTCCGGGCTGCAGATCCGATTCGGCGTGCCGGATGTGCGCCGGCCGATCTCCTCGCGGAGAAACGGGGGAACGGGACATCGCATCGACGTCGATCGCCCCCGGTGCCCGAAGGGATCGTGCACTCTCGCGGACGCGACCCGTCGCCTGCCACCGATGCCGAGCGTTCCGAGGGGTGTCGAATCTCTCGGATGGGCAACGAGACGACCGTCGGTCGGCGACTTCCTCGACGTCGTCTCCGTGCGGGCGGAGAACGGAATCTCTCCGTCTGCCGTACGTGCAGACGGAATCGATCCGTGTCCCGGTTTCTCTTTCGGGCGACGATCGGAAGCACCTCCCGCACCGAGTACCCGTTCTCGGTACTCGTCACGCGTCGACGATCTCGCGTGCGACGAGCACGAATCGCAGAAGCTTCTCTTCGTTTACGACCTCCTAAAAAATGTTTAATGCGGGGTACTAGATAGGACTTCGGGCCGACGGCAGCACGGCTCTGCCCGTCGAGTCGCTCGCTTTGGTCTGCAAATAATTACACGTTCCGACGTGAACCTTACGGGATGAATGATAAAATAATGAATTCTCAGAAATCTGTCGAATTTGAAGAGATTCTTAACGATCCCCATACAATTTCTTCCCCAAATCTCCGGGGCACGATCGAGAGTTCTAAATATGAAAAAACTCCTCACTCGTAGAGCGGCCTCGATGGATTAAAGGCCTTCCGTTCGAAGCGGAGAGGCTTTTGATGTTACTTTCCGAAACGTTGCGAGATATTTTCGCCCGGGTGAGCACATCACGACGCGACGCATCGAATCTTACGGGTGCCCGACCGATCGTGCATCGTCGGTTTCCCTTCCAGATCCGACCGCATTCTCACGATTCGAGTGTCGAGGGCAAGAGTCGAGACGAAACCACTCGTCGACGCTCTTCCTCGACGGCAGATGAGGAATCTCCCGGTCGATGCGGAAAAGGTAAAGAGGAAGACGACACGAGGGCGAGAAAAATGATGGGTCTTCCGAGAACGACGCGGGTCTCGCGACCTGCGATGAATCACCTTCCACGTGATCCCGCCCATTCACCCTTGCACCGTCCCCCCCCCCCCCCCCCCCCCCCCCCC